CCTTCAATATCTTAATCTCTCTCTGTCTCATCTCACTCACACAGAGAACCACTTTTTGGGCTCAAGAAAAAAGAAGAAAAGCAAAGACACCCCTTGTGTGGGGCAAATTTAACGAGCAAAGAAGGCTCAAGAAAGTTAAGAAAAGCAAAGACACCACTTGAGGGGATATTTTAATGAGTAAGAATACTCAAGAAAGTAAAGAGCTTGAGGAATTCTTTGATCTCTTATGAGTAACATAGTAGATTTGCTACTATATATATATATATATATATATATATATATATATATATTAAAGCTTGCTGAAGTGGATGTGTTTACTTTTCGAAATCTGTAAATGCTATTATGTTAATGGGGCAGGATATTCTTACACCAGTGTAAGAGTAGGATAGTCTTACACCAGTGTAAGAGTTAGAAGTCTTACACTTAATTTTGACCATTGATTCATTTGTATCCAATGGCTCATATTACTAAAAAATTAGAGTCCATAGATGTTTAAAGGAAATTGTAAAGAACTTTGAGATACACCACCCCAAAAGCTATATATGAAGTTCCTAGTATGTGACTGTTTGCATTTTGAAGTTCCTAGTATGTGACTGTTTTAGTAGTTTTGCTTGTGCTTAAGTTCTTGGGTATTGGAGGATTTAACTCTTTTGTAGATCATGAAGTATATGTACTGCCTAATGCATTCGGTTGCTGATGTATGAGAGTATCTTGTGAATATGTGAATTATGATGTTAAACGTGTTGGATATATGTGGGTGTGATGTTAAATACCATATGTCCTAATTTGAGAATAAAGAAGGAAAGACAACAATGTAACATTTATGAGAGATAAAAATAAAAAATGCTACCATGTATGCAAAATTGGAAGTTTGAGGTTTCTGCTTTAGTACATTAAAACGCATTCATTGGGCGTTTTAATGCACTACAGTAGTAAGCCAATAAGGAGGGTCCAACGTTTTTTTCTGAGCGCTTTAAAATGTGCCATAGCGTTGAAGCGTTAAAATGCAAAATTGGAAGTTTGAGGTTTCTGCTTTAAAATGCCGATCCAGAACAACATAATTATTTTGCACGTTTTAATGCGTTTTAGCACATTTTAAAGCGTTGAACCGCTTTTAATTTTCCTTCCTTTACACCTCTAGGCTTGTATGAGCCACTTATGTGAGGTTGAGTGAAAAAGGGATTAATCATTGTAACCAATGTGCTAGACGTATTTGAGTGAAAAAGGGATTTGTTAATGAAAAGAAAAATTTATTCACATTTTCTCCATGAGTATCTTGATTTAACATTACCTCAGTGTTCAAGGACTAATTCAAGTTGCGCTAAATACTATATTAAGTTAATACACTAGGTGCACACAAGATGTTGCACTTGGTCCTCTCATGAAAGCCCAAGTTAGAGGATATGCATAATGCAGCTTTGCAAATGAATCTCATGGGACGTTGTTCGCAAAGGCATATTCCTTAACCAATTGTCTTAACTAGATGAATTTACAGGTTGCAATTTCCATTTCTTGATATTCAGCCTCTACACTTAATCAGGCGTTTGCTTATTACTCTTCCAAAAAATTAAATTTCCTCCAAAGAAGACATAATATCCTGAAGAGAAGCGTCTATCTGAGTGAGAACCTTCCTAATCAACATCTAAATAGCTACACCCTTTAGTATGCCCTTTATCTTCCCGTTGCTCTTTTGATGTATCAAAGGATCCTAACCACTGCATCCTAATGAAAGTCACAGAGAGAATCAAGGAATTGACTTGTCTCACTAACTGCAAAGGAGATATCTGGTCTTGTCACAGTAAGATAATTTAACTTTTCACCCAGCTTGCGATATTGAATGGGATTTGACAATGCCTCCCCTTGTCCATGTGAGAGCTTAAATTAGGATCCATGGGTGTAGCGTTGGGCTTACACCCAAACATAGCAGTCTCCTCTATGATATTTAGGGCATACTTTCTCTGACAAACGGAAATGCTCTGCCTCGATTGTATCTTGATAGATGGAAATGGTCTGTCTCGATTGTGCCTCAATAAATGGAATGGAAATGCTTTGCCTCAATAAATGCCCTGCCTCGGTAAATGGAAATGCTTTACCTCGATTGTGCCTTGATAAAAGCCCTTCACCTAACATAGCAGTCTCCTGTAAGATATCTAGGGCATATTTTCTCTGACAAATGGAAATGCTCTGCCTCGATTGTGCCTCGATAAATGCCTTGCCTCTATTTTTACGATCGACTACTCCAAAATGGAGTGGAACATTCATATGAAGGAGGAGAGTATGTTTGGTTTCAACTAGATGTCTATTTTTATGTTCAACTACTTCATTTTGTTGTGGAGTATAAAGGCAGGTACTCTGGTCTAACGTCCCTTGTTTTTCTAAAAAATCAAAGAATTCCAAAGACACATACTCTTTAGCATTATCACTATGTAAAACCTGAATAGAAGCACCAAAATGATTACGAACCTCGGCACAAAATATCTGATAGATAAAAAATAATTTAGAACGATTTTTCATTAAATAAACTCAAGTGCAACAAGAAAAATAATCAATAAAAGTAACAAAGTATTGGAAATCCAAGATAGATATAGTTTGCCTTGGACCCCAAATGTCAGAATGAATAATATAAAATGGAGCATCAACTCTTTTATTGAATTTACTAGTATAGGAAGGGGAGTGAGTATGATTTCCTTCCTAATAGGACTGGCAATTTAAAGACTAAAGACTGGACAAAAAAGGAAGCATCTGCTGAAGTTTGGAGATACTTGAATGACCCATGCGACTGTGGATTAATTCATGAGACTCTATAAGAGAACATGCCACTGAAGAACGAGGCATATCAAGATAGTAGAGTGATTCACGGCCAACTCTAATTGTCTTCCCCTTATCTAGATCTTGCATAGAGACAGTTTGGATAGAGAAGGTAATGGTGCATGAAAGAGAACAAACTAATTGGCTAACAGATATCAAATTAAAGGAAGTGTCAGGTATATAATGAATAGAGATTAGAGTTAATAAGGAGGTGGATAGGCTTGCCCAACGCCACGGGCAAGGGCCTTGGTGCCATCAGCAAGAGTAACATAAGGTAGATGATTAGAATAAATAAGTAGGGTAACGAGGTCTTTATTATCACAAAGGTGATCAAAAGCACCTGAGTCAATTATCCAAGGTCCAAGAGATGATTAAGAAAGACAAGCAACGAAATTACCAATATTTGCAACAGAAGTCTGGGAAGAAAACTTCCTAAGAAGAGCCTCATAATCTTCACTTGAGATAGTTACTGATCTAGTAGAGGATGACACAATGTCAATCTGAGCAAGGTTGGCAACTAGTGGCTTTAAGAGGGTACTTCCTATTCTTCAACATGACCAAGGTTCTAGAAATAGTTGCAATGAGGACTTTGTCCACGACCATGTCCTTGACCACGTCCACTGTTCCATTTGGAATCATTGGCACATGAGATGAGAGCAGTGGAATGGCAGCTGGCACATGAGGAGAAGCAAGAACAGAAGCAAGTATTGTTTCATCTTTAAGGTTCAAGAGACCCTAGAAAGTCTATGACAAGCTAGGAGTCCTAACGCTACTTAAAACAGTACTAGAGTCCTCCAACACAAATCAGATTCAAGGGCTTTTAGTTGTAAAACTCTCAAGGGCAATGGTGAGCGATGGACGGTTTGGAAGGGACAGGAAGTTGAGAAGGGGGAAAAGATTAGCAAAATTTGGCGGAGGAGAGAAGAGTGGTGATGGCGGAGGAATTCAGGGTTAAGAAAATATGTATTTTTCAAATGAGAAAAGGGAAGATGGGTTGCCGATATGATTCACAACACGATTAGAGCCTTGCTGGTATGATGCACGACAATGATTTTATTCAGAAGCAAGATTTCTCAAAACACATGCTCTTGTACCAACTTGAGAAAAATGAGAATAAAGAGAATTGAGAAAATAAATTATTTATAGGAAAAACTTCAAAAAATCCCTGTAACTTTCTTCATAATCATTTACCCCTTTCCCAAAATTTTGAATCATTTACCCCCCTGACTTAATTTTTTTTTTATCATTTACCCCCCTAAGTGAGGGGGGTAAGTGATAAAGAAACTTTAAGTCAGGGGGGTAAGTGATAAAAAAAATCTACATAAAGGTGTAAATGATTCAAAAAATTTGTGAGGGGGGTAAATGATAATTAAGAAAACTCTTAGATTTTTTTTGAAGTTTTCCCTTATGTATATTATTTGACTGGATTCCATAAGTATAAATGAGTACAATATATAGATAAACTAATGGGCTTAAAGGAAAAACCCAAAGCCTAACTCAAATCTTAATAAAATAAGGAAACTAATTTTCCAAGGTAATTCTAACATTATACTTCAATTGAGAATAGTGAGACCCTAGTGAAGAGGTAGCTCATTGCCAAAGAAATTTGGGTGGAAGTGTAAGGTCTCCGAGAACCAAAATCTTGAAGGTTGTAGTAGCTTGTTCAATCACCTTTGAAGCTTGATCAATAGTAAAATAATTGTGGTCATTGAAGGGTAGACATAAATTGTGGTCATTGTGACCAAACCAGGATAAACAAAGTTTGCATTTTCTCTAACCCTTATCTCCTTTACATAATTATTCAAAACATATTTGAGCATATTTAGCTTCTTGTTTGTTGTTCTTGCTTATTTATGTTGTTATCCATTATATTTTGTAAATCATACAATCTCGATACATTTTGTGAAAATAATTTTAAAACTTATTTTAACCGCCTCTGAATGGTAAATAGAGGAGGTTATTTTAACTGCCTCTAGTACACATTTGGAGGCGGTTTCATGTGAACCGCCTCGAATCAATTAAACCGCCGAAAATACCGCCTCTATGTATCAATTGGAGACGGTTTAAGTGAAACTGCCTCAGTTAAACAGCCTCCAAACTTGTAGTGTTTTAACCAACCCCCTCCCTTATCCAACATATATGTAGTCAAATCTGGTAGGAATCACCATTCTGAAAATAACTTCTCTTGAATGTGACCAAGCCCAAAAGATTAAGCTTTCCTTACTTAACTTTCTTACCAAAAATTAAAACAAGGCAACTTACACTTTTTTAATAAAACACGAAAAGCATATCATAATAGTTTGTTCAATTAATTTATACAGCTTTGCTAAAATATTATATGTCAAGGGGCACCCAATGGTTGGAAAGGAGTGAGGGTGTTTTACACACAACTTTCTCAGTCATACTCGGCCAGATCCAAGGGCTTGAAATATTTTCCATCTATAAGATAAGTTCCAATGCTGAGTCGCACTGCCCACACATCTTTAGGTTTTCTTGAAACAATTCTGCAAGAAGTGATAACCCAATTGCCAGTTCAAGCTCAAAATTTTATACATTAGGGTCAAATGAAGAGCAATTTATGTCTTGATCCTTAAAAATTTAAGTAAATAATGTAGGGATTAATATTTTTTGGAAAATAAAATTATCTCTTACAATTCTAAAATGACGTTATTTTGAGATTTGAAAAAAAAAATCTTTTAGTAAAATTTATAATAAATTTTTTTAAAATATCCTATATTTTTTTCCTAAACTCGAAATAATATTGTTTTAGGATCACATGAAATAACTTTATTTATTGTTGTATTAATTCTCTAAAAATTAGTGGGATGTATATATTTTTTTATTCTACTGAATCATTAGTGCTTCTATGAAATAAATTCAAGAATTAGTAAAGGAGAAAATTTTCCATATCTATATATAGGTCCAATAATCGAGTAAGCGGTGAAATAAAAAAAAAAAAAATCATTTTCCCTATTGATAGTCAAATTTGAGGAATGAAGTGAAACAAAAACTGGGAATTGAGGTAAATGAATACGGATGAGGTGAAATACCTTCCAACATCACCAGGCTTTACTAAGCCAGAATTCACCCTGAGGCACGGGACAGAAGCTGCAGTCTTAATCACCTTGGGAGCTTCAGTAACAATAATGGGAGACCCTATCTCCAACTTTGAACGTTTTTCTGGCAACTCTTTCTCCCCTGATGAGTCTTTTGATTCACACCTTATCAATGCTACTACACCATTTGTTCTATCAAGTTGATAATTCAAGCTGCTCTGGACCTTAAAGAATGGCTTTGTGATAGCACAAGAAAGGGACAAAACCATGCTTACTTCTATTAATCCACCAAACCCTGCCATGAGGTATCAGGGAACAAAGAAACAATTGCTTTAAATTGCTTGTGCAACACCACATCCTTTTCAAACCGAAAAAGCACTGAAATCTATTACGTATTAGAAGAATAAAAATCAAATAACTCACAAAACAAATATTCTTTTGAGTCAAATAACTCACCAAAAGTGTACACCTCACTCCTGGTTGAAACTTGCGTGTTCTAATTCGTGGCTACAATGTTTTGGAAATTAGGTGCGGCTACAAAGTGGTTTTTTCAGAGCTCTACTCATTCGCGGTTCATGTTTGAGGGAAATTAGGATAGGAAGATAATCTAAAGATAAAATGTGTTTAGATAATGTTGTTTTTGCTTTTTTTATTTTTTTATTCAAATGGCAGCTTTGGAAAACAGGACATAATGAAACACCTGATATCAAAGACAATAAATATGCCCATTTATATACATGTTATTTTATTTTTATACACTTTATCATTTCATTATAATTTTTTTTTATCTCATTTTTTACACATTCACACTTCTTTATGGTGAAAGTATACGCTAACACTTTGATTCTGTTACCTCGCAGATGTGAAATGATGAGCTTGGAAATGATATCCATTAAAATTATTAATCATCGGTTCATTGTCAACATATTATTTTTTCTTTTAACAATAAATTATTTTATTTCGTACTCAAAATTAATTTTTTATTTTATGATTTTAAATTTGATAATTATTAGTGTAGAAGTTAGGGATACATAAGCAGAAATTAGAATGTAATTTATGGATGTGACAGGACTAGACCAGAATTTAGAGGAGTAAAGTAACATTTTTTGTGTTCCGTCGTGTCGTGTCGATCCAAATTGTCATCTCATAGACATTGGAACATGTTAGACCATATGTGAAGCAAAAATTTCAAGCCCTATAAACTTTAAACGAAAATATGGTGTTTAGCTGTGAGATATCTGGACATTCATCAAGATAATCTGTATATTTGAATAGGATATCTAGGTTTCATTGGCCCTTTTGCCCTCGTTTTAAAAAAATTACAACTTTGCCACCATATCAAAACTATATGCCAATATAGCCTTGTTTAACCATTGACCATGTAAGTTACTCGAGTACAAGGGATTAGTTACTCAAGTACATGATTTACTCAAGTACATGACCCTTGTACTCAAGTAACTTACAAACAAAAACCCTTGTTCGGCCAAAATGGGATAAAATATAAACTTTATACTCGAGTATTCTCTCTCCCAAGCGAACCAAAATTGTGTTTATTGTTACAAAACTTGCTCAAATCGTGCGGTGGGTTACCTTTTTCATCATCAATCCCTCTTTGTTCATTTGATTGGATTTCGATTTTAGAAATGTATTTGGCCGATTTTTTTATTACGAACCCTAACCGAAATGAGTTCCATATTCCTTATTTTTTGTTTTGATTTTTCAGATTTATGGTTGTTTTTAGTTTAGATTTTGATGGTTGTATATGGTGCTTGTATGTGGTTGTCTAGGTTTCGAATTTTGATTTATTTATTTATTTTTGTGATTTCAGAACTATTTTTTGGGGGTTTTAGGATACGATTTGATGCTGAGGTTGGGCATTTGTGGCATTGACATTGTTATGCCAGTTGATATATGGATAAAGTTGTTAGGATACGACTTCGATGTTGAGGCTACCACCACTTTGGACGGGGATCGTAATGCTACCATCAAGTGATATAGGCTGGGTGATATTATGGAGGAGACGAGGAGGCATAATGTCAGGCTCATACATCAGGTTTAGTTTAGTGTAGGACTTCTTAATGTTTATGCCTGCATCCTGTTTTACATCATAACCCACATATTGTTCCAGCAACTGCACAGTTTGGTGTGGGCTATCCGTCACAACGTGTAGGTCAACTAGAGGCATTACATATGTTGTATTATGAAGCATGCTGCGAGGAAGGGTCCACTACCATATGTCTTCCTTGTTTTGAGGATATTGGAGTATTTTCGTGTATCCATGGAAACTGAGACTTTGAAGACTAGCGTCTCTTGGAGCAATGCACGATTGTAAAGGTGAGAGTCGTGTGGCAACGGAAGACACAACCTGAGCCTGAAGTTCTAGTGGATGAGGAGGATGCACAGATGCTTGCTACTAACAATTATGATGATGATGATGGTGCTGATGCGGGGGGGATGCCTATGTCGAATGTCCATCCACCTCCTTCTGCTCCTGAGGGTGGATACACCCATGCTAATGTCATGAAATCCATCTATGGCTTGACACAAGACTTTAGGAGCTTAACACATGGGTTTAGGGGATTTAGGAATAGGACCAGAGGTACGATCGTATGGAGCATCGATGTACTAGTTTGGAGGAGAGGATTAGTCGATTCTTAGGCCTAATTTCCCTCACATACCAAGGACAACCATTAGAATGGTATTGACATTTCATCACAAATATGTGTTCATAACTTTTTGCAATTATGGTTGTACGATAGATCATCATACAAAACAAAATTTAACATGTTGCATTTCAAACTTGAACTCGAACTCTTGTTGCACAAATAACGGATCCCCTAATTTTCAGGTATCGTGCAACTCATCATCACCACACATCATCTCTTTGGTGGGTTCACCCAATTAACAAGATCAATATAATATGTTAAATAAAAGGAAAGAATCTACTAACTAACCATTATTAATTGGGTCAACATCAGAGGGGATAAACGAAACAGGGGCCTTTGGCTCGGCTCGTGAAGGCCTGAGCTTACATGCCTAAAATTGGTTGTTGGAACCAGACTTGAACTTGTATAAAAGCTCGTTTAATAAAAAGGTCTCAGGCTTCAATTCAAAAGCTCGGCCTTAGAGCCTCTCAGGCTGGCCTAGTATTTTTTTTATACTACTTGTAATAGCACTCTCTATCCTCATTCCATTTCACCCTAATTTTATTGATTAAACAAACTTTTTGAATGATTTTGTTGTATATTATGTTGTTTGGATATACATTGAATTTATGAATATTTATGGAATTACTAGTGTTGTTGATTGTACATTTTGTTTGAATAATTTGTTGTCTTATTAGGCTAAATCAGGCTTTCATTTTTTGTAAATAAATCAGGTCGTAGGTCGATAATTATATTCATAATAGCTAACAAGCTTGATCAAGCTGACACATTTACACACAGACTTAGCCTTTTAAGACCAAAGCTCGGCTCGGCTCGGCCCATTAACATCCCTAGTCAACATGAAGTCCTGACAAAGAAGGAGAAGTCATGTTTACTTGTTCATGTCAGCATCGAAATCACTCTCCAAATCAGTATCCGATGAATCACTAAGTGGAATAACACTTTCAGGTTTTCGCTCCTCATACTGTCCATATCCTCCTCCTCATCGTCTTCTTGTTCCCCTGATGTTATCTGACTTAACATTTGTGGAGATGCAAATGAGCTGACGAATCTTTCTTCTTAACCAAAATATCGCTCAGTGCTCATATACATGGGTGAAGAAGACCGCTGACTATGATCAACTTTAGCATAATCTCAATAAAATCTTCCTCTTTCCTTTTAACATATGCAACTACGACACAATCCACATCTTCATTGTCATTGGTATCGTTACCAATGTAGTACCCATTTTTAGTCTCGTACCTGGCTACCAAGCGAAAAATGCTTTGGTTGCCTTGAAGACCCAATTTTTGATAAATTCTCCTCTTTAGTTCGTTGTATATAACAGCGGGTTTGATTTGCATTGTTTTTGTTTGACCTTCAAAGTGTTTCAAATTGCCTACCATTGTGGTAGATAATTACAACATATCATCATTGCCATAAATTGGGATTAGGGTTTGGGTTTGGGATCAACTTTTTGTACAAAAATTGGAATATCTAAGTGTAATAACAATGATTTGATAAGGTTAAAGATTTAGGGATCATAGGGTGAAAGTCAATTTGATGGACCAGAATAAAGACGAGAGACGAGTAGGATGTTGGGATATAAAAATGTATAATGAAAATGTGGCCGAAACACACTGTTACAGACTTCTAGGCGTGACGATAGTTACTCGAGTATAAGGCTCATGTACTCAAGTAACTTTTCTAGTCAATGGTCAAATAGGAGCAGATTAATGTATAGTTTTGATAAAATGTTAAAAAAATTAAATAGTTTAAAAACAAGGACAAAGTGGCAATATTTTTTAATTACGGGCAAAAGAGCCAATCACCCGATATCCAAATATATCTACAATGCATATTCGGATATGTGTACAGTGTGCATCCGAATATGTGTACAATACATATAGAATTGTCTACAGAACGTTTCTTATAGCATATGAAAACAAATTTTCACACATTTGATTCTTAGATTCACATTGTTCCAGATGGCCCAACAACACAGGCCCAAAGGTCCAAGCCCAATCTCAACCCCTTATCCACGTCAGCCTTACCAACTGTCAGCCTCCCAACCCCCAACGCGACGACACTCCCTAGGGGAAACACCAATATGTCCCGTCTTGGGACCCTTACCCCAAAAGATGACCGCCCCAGATACCATAAGAGGAAACTGTCCTTTGTCGCACGCTGACACCGCCAGGCACAGGGGGCGCATCGCTGCTATCATAGCAGCGCCTGCCACGCCCAGTAGCGTCTACCGCCCTTGGCAGATCCCAAGGAGGGTTGACCCCCTCCTCACCAACCCACACAAGATTCACATCACCTTCCCCTATAAATAAACCCTCTGGGCACACATCTGAGGTATCTTATGTATCGTTATTCTGCCCATTTATATTGATACACACACCTAACCCCATTGTTGATTGCTTGATTCATACTTGGAACAGTGCCTCTTAGCTTGGTCTCCACCTGTGCTAAGGGTATCATCCATATAGTGACTCCATCCCCAAAGGGAACATAGTGGGCTTATAGATCCCAACGGTACATTGGCGCCGTCTGTGGGAAAACTATAAACTTCTATTCCCATTCTCCTACCAAAGATCTACGAGAGGCATTTCATTTTCTGGCAGCTAAACATGGTTGTTACGACAAGAAGAGCGGAGCAGACCAGAGCCATTACCCCTGAAGGTCATGTGCAAACAGTTCATTCCAATTCCCCACCGTCTATGCATTCAGCCCCTGCTGAACAAGTAGCCGGCGAGGCGCTCCTCCTGGTGTTGCAATCTGTTGACCCACAGTTACCAGCAGCTGATGCTAGAGTAGCACAGTTGAATCGTCGCGTAGCCATACGCGAAGTCCAAGGAGAGAACTTAATCCCAACCCAACCCCCACCACCCGGAGTTCATTTCGGAATGCCACTTCCCGCCGCTGGCCCCCAAACTATCCCACCAGCTTATCATCTACAACCGGCCCGAAGCCAGCTGGTGGCTCTGTATAATGATCATCGAATCCTTGTGGTCGCCCCATATCCCCCTGGACCTTACACACACAACGTGGCCGCCCCTTACCCCCACCTTTCCCTGCTGGTTTTCCATTCCACGGTTACGTAATACCGCCTCATAATGCGGCCATTCCACAACCTCAAGGATCACATATGAATCCTGGCCTGCCACAATGTATCGCCCATCAAGCCCCAACCCTCTCTTACTCTGTTGAAGCCCCACATGCACCTCGCCCACCACCAGACCAACACGTGCACAACCCGAACTTACGGGTAACGCCTGCTAATACTTCAGGACGCAACAAATCCTTAACTGATACGCCTAACCCCCATACCTCTCGGCTTCAAAGGCCCTTCCAATATCGCTACGTATGTTGGTGACACTGATCCTTTTGAATGGATCCAAAAGTTTGAAGCGACGATGACCCTTCACGGTGAGACAGATCTCCTCATGCGTAGGACTTTCCCTACACTTATGGGCGGGAGAGCACTGACATGGTACACCATTTTGCCAACTGGTAGTATTGCGTCCTGGGATGATCTGGCAGGCAAGTTTCAAACCCATTTCGCAACCAGTCGCCCAGCGCCTAAATCTGTCCGCTCCCTTGAAAATATTCGCCAACAATCAAGGGAGTCCCTTAGATCCTTTTTGGACCGCTTTGATAAAGAGGCTCTGCAGGTCCAAGGTCTAGACCCTGAGGTGCAAGTGCATATACTCCTGTCGGGCTTGCGACAAGGAGCGTTCGCCTACGAGCTTGCTCGCCATGAAATTACTGACCTAGAATAGGTCAAGAAAAAAGCTCAAGAGTTTATGCAGATTGAAGAGTACAAAGGGAGCCGAGTCGACGACGCCCACAACCAAGAGAAGAGAGCTAGTAAAAGTAAGGACCACATGGAAGAAGGCAGGAAGGGTCACAAACCCTCCAAATATGTCAGTCGCCCGTTGAGGCGTGACACTTCAAGACGCCAATCACACAATGTCCTGCAAACTGAATACAAAGAAGAGCGCAAGAGTAACCCACGGCACCAACAACTGACCAGGGAAGTCACCGTATACTGCAAATTTCACCGCAGTAACGGCCATAGTACTAAGAATGCAGACACCTCATAGATGAGATTGATGAGCTTATCAAGGGCGGAGCTCAAAGGCGGGCGAGTGACGATGCTCGTACTGTTGGTTCTGGAAAGCGACATCGCGAGCGTAGCAAGTCACCGGAAAGAAGAAGAACTAACCAATTCGGTTACCGGCCTCGCCATGAATGTGACCGTAGAGATGACTCTCCAAGAGACCGTAGAGTGCAAACTAGCCCAATCAACAGAGGAAGATGGGAGGAAGATGAAGAAGACTCAGCTGTCATCAAGCACGGAGTGATAAACATGATCTCAGGCGGATTGAGCGGAGGTGGTGAAACAACTAACGCCAGGAAGAAACACTTGAAACAATGTTTGGCGGTAACTGGAAAAGTCATCAGCAAAGTGAAAGTTGATTCGAGTCCAACCAAGCCTAAAATCGTGTGGGATTACAACGATTTGGGTGACGTCCTTCCTGGACATGATGACCCCCTTGTCATTCAGGCAATAAAAGCCAATTTTGGAGTCAATCGCGTGTTTGTTGATCACGGCAATTCTGCTAACATTTTATTTTTACCATGTTTCAGGGCGTTGGGGTTTACAGTCAACGACTTAACCCCAGTCGCAGGTGAACTCTCAGGTTTCAACGCAACAGTTACCAAGCCGCTCGGAATGATAAACCTGCGTTTATCCATAGGAACACCACCCACTACAAGGTCAGCTGACATCCAATTCCTGGTGCTTGATACCCCATCAGCATACAACGCAATTCTTGGCAGAAGGATGTTCGCTGCCTTCGAGGCGAGTGTATCACACGCACACTTGGCGATGAAGTTTGTAGCCAAGGATAACAAAGTCGCAATGGTAAAAGGAGACCAAACAGTAGCCAGGAGCTGCTACAATATATCCCTGAAACCAGCAACCAAGGTTACCTTCAGAGATCAACCAGCACCCTAACAAATAACAGCACAGTCAATTGAAGGAAGCCCTAACAGGAATGGGAAGGAGCATGACCAATGTTTCCTAGTAGAATTTGAGGCAAGAGACGACCCTCGGGTGGAACATGCCAGACCCACTCCAGATAGAGCGTTGGAACATGTCGTCTTGGGCGATGATGATCGTCAAACAACTACCATCGGGGCGACCATTGACCCAAAAATGAAAAGTAAATTGATCAAACTGCTGCGAGACAACAGAGATCTGTTCGCTTGGAAACCATCAGACATGCCGGGCATCGACCCTGAAGTGTGCTGCCACCGGTTATCTATGGACCCCAAAGCAAAGCTCGTCTCCCATAAAAAGAGAAAGTTCAGCCCCGACCGCCAGAAGGTCATTGATGAGGAAGTTAAAAGACTCCATGACGCCGGCTTCATTAGGGAATCAAGTACACCACTTGGTTGTCCAACCCAGTATTGGTAAAAAAGCCAAATGGAGCGTGGAGGATGTGTGTCGACTACACTGACCTGAACAAGGTATGTCCCAAGGATGCTTATCCTTTTCCCAGCATCGACCAGTTGGTCGATAACGCATCTGGTTTCAAAATGCCATCATTCATGGATGCGTACTCTGGTTACAATCAAATCCCACTGCTCCAGGAGGACCAAGATAAGACGATGTTCATCACCCAATTATTGTTATACCATGACGCCCTTCGGGTTAAAGAATGCATGTGCCACATATCGGCGGATGATGAATAAAGTGTTCAAAGATTTAATTGGCGGTAGCATCAAAGTTTATATCGATGACATGATCTCCAAGTCGCGAACGCCAGAACAACACTTGTCAGACCTTCAAGGCGTGTTTGATAGGTTGAGAAAGTACAATATGCGGCTTAATCCTAGTAAGTGCGCTTTCGGTGTACCCGCCGACAAGTTTCTAGGCTTCATGCTTACCGACAGAGGCATTGAGGTCAACCCTGACAAATGCAAGGCGGTTATCGAAATGTGAAGCCCCTAAACGGTCAAAGAAGTTCAACAGTTAACCGGGATGCTTGTGGCCCTCACCCATTTTTTAGAAAACTCGGCACATAAGTTTCTCCCCCTGTTCGGCCTACTCAAAAAAGGAACTATCTTTCTGTGGTCCGAAGAATGTGAGAAAGCCTTCTAGGAGTTTAAAAGAGCTCTCTCTTGCCCACCAGTCCTCGCCAAGCCATACAACGGCGAGACGCTGTACTTATACCTTGCCGTAGGCACCGAGGCTATCAGCGCAGCCTTAGTCAAAGAATCAAGAGAGGAAGGGCAGAAACCAGTCTACTTTATCAGCAAAGTTCTACAAGGGGCTGAGCTTCGGTACCAACAGGTGGAAAAGGTTGCCTTCACACTTATCTTCGTCGCATGAAGGCTAAGACTGTATTTCCAGTGCCATCTGATCACCGTCAGGACCAATCAGCCAATCTGCCAAGTTTTGCACAAGCCCGACCTCGCTGGAAGAATGATGTCTTGGGCGATTGAGCTATCGGAGTACGAAATCACCTATGAGCCAAGAACCGCCATTAAGGCTCAAGCTCTCGCTGACTTCATTGCAGAAATGACGCACAATTCCCATCCTGATGGCCAAATCTTCGAAACGCCGCTCCAGGCGATATGGAAGCTATATGTTGATGGCTCATCAAACGCCAAAGGCTCAGGGGCAGGAATGATAGTTGAAAATCCAGACGGTGTGGCTGTCGAGCATTCCTTATCCTTCAACTTCAATACCACAAATAACCAGGCAGAGTATGAGGCCATGATAGCTGGCCTAATTCAAGCAAAGGAGATGGTAGCCCAGCACCTCAAAGTCTTCAGTGACTCTCAGTTGGTGACATTTCAGATCTCGGGTGAGTATCAAGCCAAATGACCACTGATGTGCAAGTACTTAGAGAAAGTCAAAGAGTTATTACAAACCTTCGAAAGCGTTGAGGTGGAGCATATCAGGCGAGCTGGAAACACCCGGGTAGATATCCTCGCCAAGTTTGCAAGCACTAAAAGCCCAGGTAACAATCGCTCTGCGATCCAGCATAATTTTCCTAACCCATGCATAGTCATGAGCATTTCAGACACGACCATCGAAGTCGCCGAAGAGACCTGGATCACGCCCATCATCAATTACTTGTCTGAAGGAGCCCTACCTCCCGACCAAAAGGAAGCTAGGAAGGTAGCACAAAGAAGCGCCCATTTCTGCATAGTTCAAGGACGACTGTATAAGAGAGGATTCTCAACTCCACTTCTGAAGTGTCTGAACCCCAACGACGTTCAGTATGTTTTAGAAGAAATCCACGAAGGAATCAACGGTCACCACATGGGCGGGCACTCACTAGCAAAGAAAGCACTGAGAGCTGGTTTTTATTGGCCGACCATGGAGCGCGCCGCCCATGAGCACGTCAAAAAATGTGAAAAATGTCAGAGGTTCGCCGACGTACACAAAGCCCCACCAGAAGAGCTGACGTCAATCACCTCACCGTGGCCTTTCTACAAGTAAGGAATCGACATTCTAGGTCCTTTTCCCATGGCGGCTGGCCGGGTCCAATGGTTGATTGTCGCCATAGACTACTTTACCAAGTGGGTAGAGGCTAAACCTTTAGCCACCATTACATCCCAGAAAGTGAGGAAGTTCTTTTGGAGAAGTATTGTCTACCACTTCGGCATCCCTGGAGAGGTCATTACAGAATAATGGTACCCAGTTCACCGACGCTAAGTTCCATGAATTAATGGGGAATTTGCAGATCCAGCATCATTTTGCCGCAGTAGAACACCCCTAATCCAACGGCTTAGTGGAGTCGGCCAACAAAATGCTGGCTAAAGGAATCAAGAAGAAATTGGAAGCACTTAAAGGGGCGTGGGTTGACAATTTGGACAACGTCCTGTGGGGATACAGGACAACCGCCCGGTCTTCCACCAGAGAGACGCTTTTCAGATTAACGTACGACACTGAAGCCATGATCCCCGTAGAAGTTGGCGAACCCTCTTGGCGAAGAGATCACGTTGCCGAGGTCGCCAACAGTCAAAATCTTAAAGAAGCATTAGATCTACTGGATGAGCTCAAAGAACATGCTGCTCAGTCTGACTGTCGTTCCAAGGAAAGGTCAGCCTCTTGCTACAATAAGAAAGTTGTCCCCCAAAAATTCGCAGAAAAAGATTTGGTTCTTAGACGAGCAGACGTGGGAAACAAAAACGCTCGCGAAGGAAAGCTCGCCCCAAACTGGGAAGGACCTTACCGGATAGCAAACCAACTGGGAAAAAGAGCATACCCCCTCGAAACACTTGATGGAAAAGCAATCCCCAGGGCATGGAATGCAGACAAACTCAAGAAGTATTATAGTTAAACTACCATGTAACACTTTCTTCACTCTTTTCCTTTCCCAAGTTTTTGTCCCAAGGGGTTTTACTGGGAAAGGTTTTTAATAAGGAAGGGTCCCACTTTTTCAATGAACATGATTGTCAATTTTTCACAACTCTTAGTATAAGGTAAACGACCAAGTAACGGGACGGTTCTCACCCCCGCTATGCGTTAGGCTGGGACGGTTCTCTCCCCCAGCCAACGACAAAGTAGCGGGACGGTTCTCACCCCCGCCATACGTTAGGCTGGGAAGGTTCTCACCCCCAGCCAACGACCAAGTAACGGGACGGTTCTCACCCCCGCCATGCGTTAGGCTGGGACGGTTCTCACCCCCAGCCAAAGACGAAGTAGCGGGATGGTTCTCACCCCCAGCCAAAGACCAAGTAGCGGGACGGTTCTCAC